CCGAAAAAGGCATCGAATAATTCTCCTAATATCGGTATACCATTGTGTTTGCACGAATACCATTCACGAATGATTAATTAAGGTACACGCACACAGTCGACATGTTTGAAAATTTGTTCGATTCCATCACAGATCGAAACAAACGCAAAAATTGGTGTACAAAAATATCGATTAACGCTCATTTAATAAATTATGAGCAATTCGAATACAACGCGTAACTTAACGCAAAACTTGAGCACGATAAATAATTTCCCCAATACTGAAATTCTCCAATATACTTTCGTTTATTACTTTTTAGCCTCTGGAATTAATCCTTCCACCTAATCCACCCAGTGCATATTAACGCGTATCTAAAAAAACACCCACCCATCAGGCGAGAAAGTGGCGTCATTCGTCGCGAATAGGTTAATCCATCCCTTCGTAATTACGCGCTTTTATCCCCCCCTCCTCTTCAACAGGAATTTATCCTAGAGGCTAAAATAATAAAAGTTGAATGGCGCGTGAAGGGCAAGTCGTTCGATACAATTTCTCACGATTTCACGGGCACCGCGATAACAATGTTAAGAAACACAATATAACTCGGCGCCTTGAGCCGAGCATCAATGTAGCAAATTCTTATTACCAGAGAAGAATCCACGGCGTTCGTGGAAAAGGGAGGTGGGAGTGGGAGGAGAGAGGTCTTACAGACCTCGTTTCATGCGGCCGCATGGCTGCAATGGAACCCTTTGTGAGACCTGGGGGCCCAACAAACGGGCCTTTGTCCTCCCCTTAAAAAAGGAAGAGAGGGAGGAGGGGGGGGGGAGGAGCTGGAACACGTAGAATGGAAAACGTTCCCTCGAACAAATCGAATCTATCGTTCGCGTTGTTTAGTTTTGCGATCTGAAAGCTGGCCCTGTTCTCGTCCTTTCTGCCGATTTTGTTCAACTCGGTCGTTCGTTTCCCGCGCAGATTTTCCCGAATCAAATTTCGTGCTTGCTTCGGATTTAATTATGAATTTAAAAGGGATTGGATAAATTGTGTATTTACGCAGGATTGGCTTTATCGACGATGGAGATAACAGGTTTGCAAGTGTTTGAACAAGTATATAAAAAATTTCGAACCAGGTATCGTTGATCTTTCACTTTATGTAATATTACTTGCACAGTTGCGAAATGAAAATTTTTTTCGTATAACGCGAGTGTTTCAGATGGATTATTGTTCGATTATTTTCAAATTTTGTTTTCTATGTTTTACTTGTTAACACGATGAAAAGTCTCTGTGAATTTCAAAAGTTGAGTACGAGAGTTTATTGTATTGCAATATATATTTCTGTGTTATGATAATTTCATTTCTTCTGCAAAATATATAAGTATAGATGGAAAAATAATTTTAATTACTTTACTCTCAGGTTTTTCATTACGAAAGCCAATATTTCAAAATTGTTGTTCATTAGCCAACTTTTAGAGAATTTATAATCGGATACATTCGTATTGAAGTCTAGTTTAACAAGACTCTTTTTTTTCTTCTTTTTAAGGCTTTTATTATTATAAGAATACTTTTTTTTACGGCACGAAAATATTTAAAATCGCCTCTGCACTCAAGTTCTACTTTCACAAATTTTTCTCAATTTTCAAAAACATGATTGTATCTCTGACTTTATTTGTACTTGTTTCACGTAGATTTAATTGGCGGGAATCGTTATAAATTTGAAAAACGTAAATTGGATAAATTGTATCACTTAAAATATTTTAAAAGTTCTACTTCCTGTTTGGATATAAATTATTCATGAGTCGAGTTTCAGGATCCGATTTTCAAATCCGATCGTATCTCTGATATTTATGCTTTCTTTGCATAAATTTAATTGGCAAGGATCGTTATGAATTTAATTAAAAAAATTATATCACTTAAGACATTTTAGATTCTATTCTTGTTTAGCGTTAAATTATTCATGAGCTGATCTGATTTTCAAACAGAATTGCATCTTGTCCTTGTATTTATGTTTGTTCGGCGTAGATTTAATTGGCGAAAAGCGAATTAGATCGTTCCACTTAAGATATTTTAGATTCTACTTCCTGTTTGGCATTAAATTGTTCATTGTTAACGAGTTAAAATTAGAAATTGTTTTTAATTCTTTTAATAGGACGAATTAAATCGTAATATATATATATTAGGGTATTTATAACATTTATTAAAAATTTAAATATACAAGGATATAAGAAACGTACGTGAAAAAAAAAAATAATAAAATATCTAAAATAAAATATACATTATTTAAAAAACGAAGAAATAAAAAATTCTATGATTATTCTTTAATGATAAAAACTTACTCTTAATTCAATTCGCAAGAAGCAATTGAAATATCATAAGAATTTTTAAAACGTATTTTTCTGATATATATTAAAATGAAATACGTAAAATCTATATCTACAAATACAAATGTGCAAATTACTTGAACTTAAGTTAACTTATCCAAACATTGTTGGAAAAAAAAATTAAACGAGAATAATAATTTGCCGAGTAATTTATTTGTTTCACATTTGTCAAACATTTCTATGAGAGGCGACAACTTTTTATATTCATTACTAGTAGTAGTAAAAAAAAGGAATTCCCTAATTTTATTCCACCCATGTGTGCGAATAACCCATCGAATATTCATACGCGCGTATTGTTACCACCAATATTCGATCCTGTGGCGATAGATTCTTGTCAATAGTAAAGGGACAAATTTGTATTGGCAAATCTTGCGGAAATTCCGTGTCGTTCGACATCGATTGGACGTGTATCGGGTGAAATCAGATTTCGATTAACGGCATCCCTTTTGCTCTCGAAAGTTTAAACACACTTCCGGATTTCGATGATCCCTCCAAACGGAATCCAGCTTTTGAATCAAGCCGAACGAAACGTTTGTTGCTGCTGAAACGAAATATACAGCGATCGAGGGATAGACAGAGGACACGTTTAAAATGCTCTCGTTATCGAGTAATTGGTCTGAGGGAAGGACATTCTCGATTATAGCAAAAAAAAAAAAGGAAGGGAAGGTAAGACGGAAGGTGGTCGTTCCCTTAATTCATTCCGCGTTTTATTAAACGGTGAAAACACGGGCCGCTTTGTGCCCAGTAATAATTCACATGGGTTCATTGTTCCCGCTCGTTAAGATTTTCCTTTGAGACGACCGAATCTTTTCCATCGGCTCGTCTTTCCCTCTTAATGGCGTCTTCGTTAAAATTACCGCGGACGTTGAGAAACAAAATTATCGGATCTCTCGTTCTAAAGAAAAGAATTCGTAAACTTTTATCCACCTCGCATTGTTCCACGAAACTTTTCTTATTGTCAATCTGCAGTTAATTACTTGGAATACGTATTAAATGTGAAAATATATTTAACAGAATAGTTCGATCAATCCCCAAAATTTTAAAATAATAACAAACATTTTATAAATTTATTAACATGTATCAAGAACATATGCAAACTTTCAAAATCAATATCGTCTTACATCTTCTGTTATATATAACCTATACTTAAATAGAAATTAAAGAATTAACCCTTTTACTTTTTACATATTAAAATTTACCACAAATTTAATATCGAGATATCCGTAAACAAACGAATAAAAATCGACTTCGAGTTTCCATTCCCCCATTCGAGTAATTCCCTTTGGCCGAGCGTCGCGACGTGACAGCACGCCGTGGGCCAACAATCCAGGAAGGAAGGAGCCGGGAAGGTGGTACATAGAGGGGGTTGGTTGTCCTTTACCCGGGAGACCGCAAAATCCACGCCACTCGCAAAATACGGGCCACTCGAGCATCCCGCTCGTGGAAGCGTACCGTCGACAGAGAGAGAGAGAGAGACATATATATATATATATAGAGATTGAAAGAGAAAGTGAGAGAAGAGAGTCCTGGCCGAGAATCGTAAGCAGAGCGTCGTCTCGTAGCAAGCGCACGTGCTGCCGCCGCCTGCAAAGAGCAAGTTTCTTTCGTTAAAGGGGCGCGCCGTTGGAAGAAGAGAGAGAGAGGGTGGAGGATGGCGTATCCACGGCCGATAATCCCTCCGGTGTTTTTCTTTTCCGTTCCCCGACCACGACCCACTTATCCCGGCATCGTAGAAGACCTCCAACCCTCTCTACGGCCCGTTTTATCGGGTGTCGCCGCGGGTTATCGTCGTGGTTGCTGCCACGGAGGGTGAAAAAGGGGTTGAGCTGAAGCAGCGGGAGCCGGTAGTGTGAGGTTGCTACCACCTGTTGGCAGGACAACGTCTTAGCCCCCTTACCGACCCTTCTCCTCTTCCTCCTTCGTCTTCTTCTTCTTCTTCTTCTTCTTCTTCGCCTTCTCGTCTCTCGTTTCCTTCTTCTTCTTTTTTTAAGCTTCTTTTTTCCCTCCTTTCTTCTTTTTTCTCTTCTACGTCATCCTCCTTTCTCCCCTTTACTTTACTCGTTTCTAAGGGGATACCCACGCCGGCGCCAATCACGATCCTCGTGGCTGTGGCTGTTAACATCCGTGTATTCGCGGAACGAGAATTAATAGCAAGTTGAGGGGCGGGGAGGGGAACACTTGTTTGCCGGAAGTGTTCGACGATTGTGATAGGTTGTGGCTGGCTTTCTTTTGCGATCTAGGAGGGAGGAAGATATATAATACAATATTGACAACAAGTTTAAGATCTTGAATATACCCTAAAATTTTACGTTCCAATAATGTTAAAAAAGTTACACTTACTATAACTATTATAATTAATAAATGAATAAAAATTCAAATTATTATTTATTAAAGTAATATTAATATAAATTTAAATACTAAATTTAATGCAATATCATGCTATTGTTGACTGGTGGTGGTGGTAGAATGCAATGTTTTTCAATCGAATCGAATTCTTTATGAATAAGAAAAATATAAATTTTGAAGAAAAGGGTAGTAATTGAAATAATTGATGAAAGCGATTGATGATTAATTTAGAATGAAATAATTAATTGATTTGTATAATATGACAAGGCATGTCCTCACCAAAGATTGTGTTATTCTCTTTAGGTCCTGATTCTACCTTTCTTATCCCCCATATGCAAGTACGAACCAATTTTTCGACTGCTGCATGTGACTTAGATGGCTGGGATCTAGGAATTCGCAAATACTGAGTCGACTGCTCTCGAGGGTAAGTTTGTCCATATTTTGAAAGAATCGTGTATATGCGAAACTCTACTAAAACTTTCCATCTACTTTTTTACACGTTTCATAAAACTAACAATTTTACGTATAATAATATTTCAAATTCTGATCCTCGTTGCTTTTAATTAGAAAAATCACTTTTTGAAAGATCTTTATTTAATTGTCATCATCGATTGAAATCATATTACAAAGTATCTTGCTTCTAACGCTTGCTACAATTTCTCAAAATATCTATTTGAATCCCAATAATCATTATCTTCTAAAATCAACTAAAAAATTCAACTCCCTCTCATTTCTAAAACTAATCTAAAGATTTATTGAAATTATAGCGTATACACATATATATCTTTTCCATTTCAAAATACCTAAAAAAATCATCATAATTGAATCACGCACAACGCGTTACAATCGTATATTGCATCTCTTCCACTCCACCACAATTAATTATTCTCGAAATCTTCTCT